CACTCACACTGAAATGGGACGGGACAGAAGCAGAAGGAGGTTCTTAAAGAGACAGAGAGGCCAATTTCAAAGTGTTTAGAAGAGGAAGTGATGAGAAGATAAGTTTATTTTCTATTTAAACATAAAACAGCATTTTAATAACAGCTAAATGTGACATACTGTAGATACTTTATTATGGTATAGTATTTAAATATATGCCTGAGAAACACATTATTGGCCCTTTAATGACAAACATCAACCCACAGAGAGCTGAGCGGAGAGAGGCTGAAAACTACGTCCTCTACTCGTCCCTTCCCTTCACTGTGCAGAGCCAGTGATGGACAGATGGAGCATTACTCAGCATCACGCCTCTCACTGAGAGCTGGAACAGTCAGTGCATCTATCTCTGCACATAATGGAAGATGTGGGTAAAAAGCTGAAAAGCATCAATGAAAAGCTCTGTGGAGGTTCGAACTCTGTAGTGACAGGAGATCCAAATCAAAATGAACTTTTATTTGTTTTTGATCTTTTCTGCAGGTTTGAAATATTTACCACATGTTGATGTGACAATTAAATAAATAAAGGTTTTCCATCTGCAAAGTAGCTTAAAATGAAAACACATTATTTGTGACTTTATTGCAGGGGTCAACAAGCAGGGGCTCTGAGGCCCCTCGAATTTACAAACAGCAGGATCCTGTTCATGTTAGGATTCAAACAGACAATTAAACTGAATCAGTTTGTAGTTTACCTGCAGTTTTTGTTTTATATGTGCAGGACGTTTTTGACATGAAGCATATGTTTGTGCAAAGTGGGATTTCTCCAAATCAACTAAAAAAAACTGTTTTTTTATTTAATTGAAATTATAAACAGAAATCCGAGTTATTCTTATTTATTTCCTGACATTAGGCTGCATTGGTGCTTTATTTGATTTGTTTTTAGTTTTTTAGTCTTTCTGCAACAAACAGGACAAACTCAAACGGGTCTGAATAATTCTAAATATTTTTTTCTTTTTTTTAATTTACTACTGTTTAACCAGGTAAATCCCACTGAGATCACAGATCTCTTTTTAAAAGGCAGCCCGGGCCTGAAGGCAACCTACCATACATGTTTTGGGTGATTATTTGGGGTCATTATTATTTTTGTATGTATTTGTACATGTATTTTTATATAAATATCTTGAAAAGCTTTCCTTTTTTAAGATATCTGTTTTTAATAACAATAATAATAACCTATATATCTGTATAGAATGG